TAGCTGCTCCAGGCCCCTAATCTGCCATGGGCCCCTATATACCGCCTCCTCATGCTGCTGCCAGTCCAGAGTCTCTCATGGTCCCTGTACGGCCTCCCATTGCTGCTGTCTCCATCGCCACACTCTGCTGCCATGTGCCACTTTCAGGTCTCTTCACACTGCTGGTGTGTTAAATTTTTTGACATAGGGCTCTTCACACTGCTGGTGTGTTAAATTTTTTGACATAGGGTGCAGGCAGATTACGGGCCTCACATAGCTGCTGCCAGGCCCCTAATCTGCCATGGGCCCCTATATACCGCCTCCTCATGCTGCTGCCAAGTCCAGAGTCTGTCATGGTCCCTGTACGGCCTCCCATTGCTGCTGTCTCCATCGCCACACTCTGCTGCCATGTGCCACTTTCAGGTCTCTTCACACTGCTGGTGTGTTTAAATTTTTTGACATAGGGTGCAGGCAGATTACGGGCCTCACATAGCTGCTGCCAGGCCCCTAATCTGCCATGGGCCCCTATATACCGCCTCCTCATGCTGCTGCCAAGTCCAGAGTCTCTCATGGGTCCCTGTACGGCCTCCCATTGCTGCTGTCTCCATCGCCACACTCTGCTGCCATGTGCCACTTTCAGGTCTCTTCACACTGCTGGTGTGTTAAATTTTTTGACATAGGGTGCAGGCAGATTACGGGCCTCACATAGCTGCTGCCAGGCCCCTAATCTGCCATGGGCCCCTATATATATACCCCTCCTCATCTGCTGCTGCCAAGTCCAGAGTCTCTCATGGGTCCCTGTACGGCCTCCCATTGCTGCTGTCTCCATCGCCACACTCTGCTGCCATGTGCCACTTTCAGTCTCTTCACACTGCTGGTGTGTTAAATTTTTTGACATAGGGTGCAGGCAGATTACGGGCCTCACATAGCTGCTGCCAGGCCCCTAATCTGCCATGGGCCCCTATATACCGCCTCCTCATGCTGCTGCCAAGTCCAGAGTCTCTGTCATGGTCCCTGTACGGCCTCCCATTGCCTGTCTCCATCGCCACACTCTGCTGCCATGTGCCACTTTCAGGTCTCTTCACACTGCTGGTGTGTTAAATTTTTTGACATAGGGTGCAGGCAGATTACGGGCCTCACATAGCTAGCTGCTGCCAGGCCCCTAATCTGCCATGGGCCCCTATATACCGCCTCCTCATGCTGCTGCCAAGTCCAGAGTCTGTCATGGTCCCTGTACGGCCTCCCATTGCTGCTGTCTCCATCGCCACACTCTGCTGCCATGTGCCACTTTCAGGTCTCTTCACACTGCTGGTGTGTTTAAATTTTTTGACATAGGGTGCAGGCAGATTACGGGCCTCACATAGCTGCTGCCAGGCCCCTAATCTGCCATGGGCCCCTATATACCGCCTCCTCATGCTGCTGCCAAGTCCAGAGTCTGTCATGGTCCCTGTACGGCCTCCCATTGCTGCTGTCTCCATCGCCACACTCTGCTGCCATGTGCCACTTTCAGGTCTCTTCAAACACTGCTGGTGTGTTAAATTTTTTGACATAGGGTGCAGGCAGATTACGGGGCCTCACATAGCTGCTGCCAGGCCCCTAATCTGCCATGGGCCCCTATATACCCGCCTCCTCATGCTGCTGCCAAGTCCAGAGTCTGTCATGGTCCCTGTACGGCCTCCCATTGCTGCTGTCTCCATCGCCACACTCTGCTGCCATGTGCCACTTTCAGGTCTCTTCACACTGCTGGTGTGTTAAATTTTTTGACATAGGGTGCAGGCAGATTACGGGCCTCACATAGCTGCTGCCAGGCCCCTAATCTGCCATGGGCCCCTATATACCGCCTCCTCATGCTGCTGCCAAGTCCAGAGTCTGTCATGGTCCCTGTACGGCCTCCCATTGCTGCTGTCTCCATCGCCCATCGCCACACTCTGCTGCCATGTGCCACTTTCAGGTCTCTTCACACTGCTGGTGTGTTAAATTTTTTGACATAGGGTGCAGGCAGATTACGGGCCTCACATAGCTGCTGCCGCCCCTAATCTGCCATGGGCCCCTATATACCGCCTCCTCATGCTGCTGCCAAGTCCAGAGTCTGTCATGGTCCCTGTACGGCCTCCCATTGCTGCTGTCTCCATCGCCACACTCTGCTGCCATGTGCCACTTTCAGGTCTCTTCACACTGCTGGTGTGTTAAATTTTTTGACATAGGGTGCAGGCAGATTACGGGCCTCACATAGCTGCTGCCAGGCCCCTAATCTGCCATGGGCCCCTATATACCGCCTCCTCATGCTGCTGCCAAGTCCAGAGTCTGTCATGGGTCCCTGTACGGCCTCCCATTGCTGCTGTCTCCATCGCCACACTCTGCTGCCATGTGCCACTTTCAGGTCTCTCTTCACACTGCTGTGTGTGTTAAATTTTTTGACATAGGGTGCAGGCAGATTACGGGCCTCACATAGCTGCTGCCAGGCCCCTAATCTGCCATGGGCCCCTATATACCGCCTCCTCATGCTGCTGCCAAGTCCAGAGTCTCTGTCATGGGTCCCTGTACGGCCTCCCATTGCTGCTGTCTCCTCCATCGCCACACTCTGCCATGTGCCACTTTCAGGTCTCCTCACACACTGCTGGTGTGTTAAATTTTTTGACATAGGGTGCAGGCAGATTACGGGCCTCACATAGCTGCTGCCAGGCCCCTAATCTGCCATGGGCCCCTATATACCGCCTCCTCATGCTGCTGCCAAGTCCAGAGTCTGTCATGGGTCCCTGTACGGCCTCCCATTGCTGCTGTCTCCATCGCCACACTCTCTGCCATGTGCCACTTTCAGGTCTCTCTTCACACTGCTGGTGTGTTGAATTTTTTGACATAGGGTGCTGGCAGATTACGGGCCTCCTATAGCTGCTGCCAGGCCCCTAATCTGCCATGGGCCCCTATATATACCGCCTCCTCATGCTGCTGCCAAGTTCAGAGTCTGTCATGGGTCCCTGTACGGCCTCCCATTGCTGCTGTCTCCATCGCCACACTCTGCTGCCATGTGCCACTTTCAGGTCTCCTCACACACTGCTGGTGTGTTGAATTTTTTGACATAGGGTGCTGGCAGATTACGGGCCTCCTATAGCTGCTGCCAGGCCCCTAATCTGCCATAAGCCCCTATATACCGCCTCCTCATGCTGCTGCCAAGTCCAGAGTCTGTCATGGGTCCCTGTACGGCCTCCCATTGCTGCTGTCTCCATCGCCACACTCTGCCATGTGCCACTTTCAGGTCTCCTCACACACTGCTGGTGTGTTGAATTTTTTGACATAGGGTGCTGGCAGATTACGGGCCTCCTATAGCTGCTGCCAGGCCCCTAATCTGCCGTAGGCCCCTATATATACCGCCTCCTCATGCTGCTGCCAGGTCCAGAGTCTCTCATGGGTCCCTGTACGGCCTCCCATTGCTGCTGTCTCCATCGCCACACTCTGCCATGTGCCACTTTCAGGTCTCCTCACACTGCTGGTGTGTTCCATTTTTTGTCATAGGGTGCTGGCAGATTATGGGCCTCCCATAACTGCTGCCAGGCCCCTAATCTGCCATGGGCCCCTATACCGACTCCTCATGCTGTGACGTTGCAACAAGGTGGAATTCAACCCTACATATGTTAGACCGCCTTTACGAACAGCAAAAGGCCATCACAGATTTCCTGATGTTAAAAGCAGATAAAGGTACTCCCTGTGTAACTTAGATGTCAGCCATTGGCAGCTCATGCGTGACACCTGCGCTTGCTCAGGCCCTTTGAGGAGGCCACGCTATTCGTGAGTCGGCAGGACTATGGGATGAACGACGTCATTCCTCTGTTGCACGTCCTGGAACAAATGCTGTTAACAATGGCTGGTCAGGGTGCGGTAGACGTGGCGCACAGATCTCAACGCCACATGGCCCCTGTGGGGGCAGGACTGGAAGAAGAGGAGGAGGTAGAGGAGGACATTGGTGCTCAGGAATTATTGAGTGAAATGGGTGGTTTTTTCCACTCAGCGGACAGGAGTGGAGGAGCAGGAGCATCTGGTAGAGGAGGAGGAAGAGGAGACAGAGGACCTAGACGCACCGTGGCAGTATGCTGTGGAGATGGAGGCAGGGAGTCCCTCGCATTCCTTGGCACAAATGGCCCATAGCATGCTCGGTTGCTTGCGTAGCGACAGCCGAATAATAACCATCAGACAGAGGGATGACTTTTGGCTGTCCACCTTGTTGGACCCTCGCTACCGTTCAAAAATGGTGGCCTTTTTCACACCTGCTGAGAGGGAGGCCAAAATAACGTACTATAAAAAACACCTATGTAGTCAGCTGGTCTCTGCCTGTCTGCGCCAACGTCCATCCTCAGACACTGTGGGCCCTGTGCGCTCGTGTTCCGCTGCCATGGCAGCAGGGGAGGGGTGGGGTGGTAGGAGCAGTGGCAGCTCCACCAGCAGCGGCTGCCTCAGTCTGCAGTCGATGATGAGTAGCTTTCTTCACCAGCGCAGTGAGGAAACTACTAACCAGCCGCAGCAGCAGCAGCAGCATCAGGTGGACCTGGAGCAGGACCTCAAACAACAGGCTTAGGCCTACTTGGACAGCACCCTGCCAACCGAGGTAGACAATCCCCTTGACTACTGGGCAACGAAACTTGACCTTTGGCCCCAACTAGCTGAATTTGCCCTTGAAAGGCTGTCATGCCCGGCCAGTAGCGTGGCATCGGAGCGCGTGTTTAGTGCGGCAGGAGGTATTGCAACTCCGCGGAGGACACGACTGTCCACCCAAAGTGTGGAGAGACTCACGTTTGTGAAAATGAATCAGGCGTGGATTAGTCTGGATTTCAAACCACCAGTTCCTGACACAACTGACTAAATCCGCCATGAATCATGCCCCAAACATGTGCCACTTTCAGGTCTCCTCACACTGCTGGTGTGTTCCATTTTTTGTCATAGGGTGCTGGCAGATTACGGGCCTCCCATAGCTGCTGCCAGGCCCCTAATCTGCCATGGGCCCCTATACCGCCTCCTCATGCTGCTGCCAAGTCCAGAGTCTCTCATGGGTCCCTGTACGGCCTCCCATTGCTGCTGCCTCCATCGCCACACTCTGCCATGTGCCACTTTCAGGTCTCCTCACACTGCTGGTGTGTTCCATTTTTTGTCATAGGGTGCTGGCAGATTACGGGCCTCCCATAGCTGCTGCCAGGCCCCTAATCTGCCATGGGCCCTATATACCGCCTCCTCATGCTGCTGCCAGGTCCAGAGTCTCTCATGGGTCCCTGTACGGCCTCCCATTGCTGCTGTCTCCATCGCCACACTCTGCCATGTGCCACTTTCAGGTCTCCTCACACTGCTGGTGGGTTCCATTTTTTGTCATAGGGTGCTGGCAGATTACGGGCCTCCCATAGCTGCTGCCAGGCCCGTAATCTGCCATGGGCCCCCGTACCGACTCCTCATGCTGCTGCCAGGCCCGTAATCTGTCATGGGCCACTGTTGTCGCTTGTTGGCATATTGCTCCTTCTCCTGCTACTCCTCTTCACGGATTCCGTCAGCAGTCTTTCTTGGAATCCGTTTCCAAGAGACAACAGTTTGCGAGCACGCACCCGACGGTGCAGAAGCTGAACGTCCTCCTGTCCAAGTTGCTGCTGCCAGGCTCGTAATCTGTCATGCGCCCCT